ATTCACAGCTTACTTTTAAACTCCTCTACGTTTCTGTAGGTAATTGAATGGGTGCTGGAGAAGAGCTCAAAGAGAGGAAGATGATGATGAACATGTAGAATGTGGACGTTTCTGATGTTTGCAGAGGTTTTTACCTTAAAGAGAATCTTCTGTTATATTTAAACTCAGAGTGTTTGCTGTTTTAAGCCTTTTCTGATTGGTTTTAAATCATTAGATTAAGTCTGTTTTAATTAATTTAACCCTTTATTTGAGTTGATTTGACTTTACTTTCTACGAGACTTCAGTAATGTCTCACTGTTTTTGTTTTAACACAAAACGTGCTGAAAGTACCTTTAGGTTTTATTTATAGTGGTTTTAACATGAAAATTTAAACCTTTTCACACAAGTTCAGTCTGATTTTTAAATACATAGTTTTATGGTTTTAACAAATAACCTTTGTTTTATGTTGTTGTTTTTTTGTTTTGTATTTTTTTACAACACAATAAATGTGGTAAAGTACAGTATGATCAGTCTGTTTTTTATGGAATAATGTCTGTAGAGAAAGAAAGGAGAACATTTTGTGTTGTAAAATATTCATAATGATAAAACCGATAAGCAGCAGATTATACGGCAGTGATTATGACTGATAATCGTCCAGTTTCTCTCTGTTTAATAGTCCAGATGAATCAAGAAAACATTGGTCAAATTTCTTCATGACTACAATGAAATACAACTCACCACCAGAGTTTTACATCTGCCTRTTGCTACAACTGCAAAATCTCTAAATTGTTTAGCATAGTTTAGCTGTTTGACAAGGGAGGAAAACAGTTTTTGGGCTTCATCAAAGTCAAACTACTGCAAAGCTAATAGACCATTCTGTAGTTCCAAGTACTAGAGGGGGCGGAGCCTAACTCTTCGGAGTCACTGGTCAACTGGTAAAATGCTGTTAAAATTGCGCAAATTCAACAAGTTCTAAAGCTTAGATTTTTATGAAGGTTGTCAGGTCTATAAATATCGGGACATCGATATAATTCTCATTATTTTGGCTGTAAACACCAACACGATGGAAATGAAATGAACAAGACGTGCTTTAACTTTCTGCTTGGATTTGAATATATTTACGTCCAAATCAGTTGAACACTGAATTACAAGAGTTTGTAGATGTGCTTCCGATTTTTTACGGGATCAAAAGTAATGGGACCAATTAACAGTCACAAATCAAACTTTTGAATATCTAGTTGCAAATCCTTTGCAGCCAATTCCAGCCAATCAGCAGTCAGACACTGGGCTTCATCCCTGCTGAGGTCTCTAAAGGACTATCTTCAGTTCTTGAGCCATTTTCTCTCAGTTTTGTCTTCAGGAAGTGAAACGCTCAATCACATTCAAGTCAAATGATTGACTTGGCCGTCATGTAACGTTCCACTTCTTTGCTTTACAAAACTCTTTGGTTGCTTTGGCAGTATGCTTAGGATCACTGTCCATCTGCACCGTGGCGCTCTGTCCAGTGGGTTCTGAGGCATTTGGCTGAATATGAGCAGATAATATGGCCTCAAACACTTCCGAATAAAAAAAAGACACAATTGTGTTTATAATTCCCCATTTTCGACAAAATTTAGGATAAGTTGGATAAACATTGTAGATAATGTTTGTACAATTATGTGTGGGAAAATGTCCACGCTCTTTACTTTATAGGATTTTAATTTCAGGACATAATAAGAATGATCTGGTCTTCATCAGGSTCTAAAATGAATAAACTCTAACCTCGTGTATCATAAAACAGCAGAATTCACCTTCTTATTATTTATTAAACAAAAACTAAGTCAATAGAAAAGTTGTGTGTGGAACAGTTATTCGTTCTGAGTTGTTTAACTTAAAAAATAAAGGGTTAATCCTGCCGAGCAGGATTTGCAGTGTAGGTGATTTTAACTCAGATCCTGTCAGCAGTGTAAAGGTCGTCCCTAAAGTAAACTGCCAGCAAGTTTGTTTAACATCTGATCCTTCCTGGTCAGCTGATGCGTGTGGATCAACAGCATCAAAGACTAGGAAAGAGCAGGTTTGAGTGTGTGTGTGTGTGTGTGTGTGTGTGTGTGTGTGTGTGTGTGTGTGTGTGTGTG